CTAGTAGCTCTCTTGTAGATTCTTTAGGGTTTTCATCTATCTAGGATCGTTTCATCTGCAAATAGGCATGGTTTTACTTCTTCCTTCCTGATTTGGATACCTTCTTTTTCTTATTCATGCTGTTTACTCTGGTTAGGACTTCCAATACAATATTGAATAGCAATGGTAAGAGCAGGCATTCTTATTTTGTTCCTGATCATAAGAGAGAAACTCTGTCTTTCTCCATTGAGTATAATGTTAGCTGTGGGTTTTTCATAAATATCCTTTACCATGTTAAAGGATTTTCCTAGCTTATTGAATGCTTTTATCATGAAAGGGTGTTGTCGCCTTAATTTTGGAAAGATTTTTTCAGGGTGTAGAATTCTAGTTTGACAGCTCCCTTCCCCTCTGCCCTTTAAACATGGTGCTCCATTGTCTTCTTGCTTTCATTGTTTGCAAGGCTACATCTGCTGTTATTCTTATCTTTGTTTTCTGGTAGTCAGTGTATCTTTCAAGATTTTTCTTTTATCAAATTGTTTCATTGAAAAAGAAAATTGTTTTGAGCAACCTACACCAATCTTTTGGTGTATATTTCTTCATGTTTCCTATGCTTGGGGTATGTTGAAATTCTTGAATCTGTGGCATTATAGTTTTCATCGAATTTGGAAGATTTTGGCCAAATGTTTCTCCTGTCTCTACGTCCCCAAATCCCTTTCTGTCTTCTCCGTACTCCAATTACATGTATATTAGGCTGCTTGAAGTTTCACCATAGTTCACTGATCCACTGTTCAATTTTTTAAGATATTATTATTTGTTTGGTTTTGGATAGTTCATTGAAGTTAACTAATATTTTGAAGTTAACTGATAAATAGCTACCATTCCTGAAGTTAACTAATAATTTCTTGTTCACTGTCTAATCTGCTTTTAATCCCTTCCAAAGTATATTTTTTCATCTCATACATTCTGGTTTTCTTCTCTAGAATTTCAGTTTGGGTCTTTTTTGTATCTTCCATATCCCTGCTTAACTTTCGAACATACGGTGTACAAATATAACTGTTTTAATACCTTTTTCTGCTAATTCTAATATCTGTGTCAGTTCTGGGTCTGTTTCAATTCACTGATTTTTTTTTTTTTTTTTTTTTTGTCTTCCTTATGGGTCATGTTTTCCTCCTTTGTATATCTGGTAATCTTTGATTGGATACAAAATATTGTGAATTTTTATTTGTTGGGTAATAGATGTATTTGTATTCCTAGAAATATTATTGATCTTTGTTTTGAGATGCCGTTGAGTAAATTAGAAACAGTTTGATCCTTTCAGGAATACTTTTTTTCCTGTTTTGTTCTGTTATTGTTGGGTGCTTAAGGAAAACAGCTTTGCCTATATTTCACTGTGTCCTGGACTTATGACAATAACTTGTATTTGGCCAATTTGGAAACCAGGCCAAACTGCATTCTTCTTAAAAGGTCTAGTCAGCTCATAAGTGACACTGAACTGATGATTTCCTTCATATAACCTTCAACAAGAACTCATAAGTTGCATTGAATATGCTCTAAGAGATGATAGACTGAAGGGTAATTCAGATTGGCAGCTCTGAAAAGATTTGTCACATCTCTGTCTCGTTCTAGCCAGATTTAAAAAAAACTTGAGGAAAGACTGAAATTCCCCACCAGTCTGACACTGCATGTGAAGTTTTCAGCTTTAATTTGAAAAAATAAGAATCCCAACATGGTACCCAATAGACTTCCACAGATAAAATCACTGACCAAATAAGTACTGTGAGTCATTGCAGTAGGCAAATACTTCTTTATAGGGCCTTGAAGGAAAAAAAAAGAAGGACATGCCACGGTAACACTCTCCAATTACATGATGTTTCAGGATGTTGAAATTCTGATAAGTGTTTGTAAATTTCTCATGATGCCTGTGATCTTGAAGCAATATTTGAAGTATTTCCAGTGGGGTAGAAATTGCTTCTATTGTCCTTGCAAATACTACCACCACGCTATGAGTTGCAAACTCTGGGTTACTGACATGTTTATAGAGATGGTAAGATAAATCCTCATATAGACCAAACATAACTGCCAATGTAGTTGTCTTCTGCCTTAATGGAGGAAGAATTCCTTGATACACAAGTTTCTGAATCCATCCCTTATCAACTGAAGTACTGCATCCCAGGATTTGATTCCTTAAAGCTTTTGCTGAAAGAAGACTTTCTGAATGGGAAGTGTTGTTGCTATGTTATTGAAAGCTGCGTAGTTGCCACACAAGTAACGCTTCATGTCACCAACATTTTCGATGTGAGGTGGTGTATCTTGTTTTGAAGTCGTAGGCCCCGTGGCCTCTTTCATGGGCTTCTGAATCCATCATGTTGCTTAAGATCTTTCTTCATGAAGAATTTTTTTAAAATCTGTAATACCATCTAGGTCTGGTGTTTTGGGGAATGGTAGCTGATTGATAACTTTCTCAATTTCTTCCATTGTTGCTGATCTGTTAGGTTCTCTTTCCTGGAGTCAGTTTTGATAATTGGATTTCCCATGGCTGTGAGTATCCAGGCTCCATGCCTGGTAGCCACCTGCCCTCAGGTTGGTAAGTCTGTGAGCCAGTGCCCACGCAGGTGCAGCTCAGGATTGCTTTTCAGATTTGTTAAGCAGGCACCAGAGCGTGTTTAGTCTAAGGCTAAGTTTTCCCTACTTCCGAGATAATACTCTTTTGAGTACTCAGTGGCCTGGAAATTACGAGGTTTTTCACTCTGCTTGGTGGGGATAAGGCACTATTTTTCTTTCTGTGTGAGCACCAAGCATTACTTCCTCTTAATACTTTTGGGTATTTCTTTTCCCAGCCTTGAGTATTTTCCTCATATGTATTCATAATTTTTTATACTCAAGCCTATTCCTCCTTTCTGTATTCTTTATCAAAGAGAAAGATATCATCACCAAGCCTGAATGCCAGGTGCCATATTTGATTTTTAAGTCTCCCTCATTCTTCCTCCCACATCTAATAAATGACAAAATCTTGTTGATCTTCCTTCCTAAAAATCTCCTGAATCCATCCTTCTATCTCTAACCTACTGCCTTATGTTAGTTGGCCATTGTCATCTCCTATCTTCATCCCAACAGGATCTTCCTACTGTCTCCTTGCTGCTTTTCCCATTCATTCAGTACACTATAGTCAGAGGAATTTTGTAATCTAAAAAAAAAAAAAGCAAAAGGAGAAGAGCTGAGGCTTAGAGAGTTAGAGTGGTTTATCCACAGTGACATAGCTAACAAGTGGTAGAGCGCATGATAAATCTTGAGTGACCAGCACCCATGCTGTATTCACTGTACCCCATTGTCTCCAGTAACGTTAATGAGTAGTTGAGTCATTTGCAAAACATTTTTGTGTTTTTCTTTTTGAATAACTTTCTGAGGTAGGGATCTTAGTTACCACGCTTGTCAGATGAGAAAACCTAGACTCAAGGCATGGTAGGCTACTTGCCCAAGGACAGGAAGCTGTTAAATGTTGGAGTTAGTAGTAGAAGTTAGTTTCTGGCTTCAAAACCCACACTTTTAACGTTTCATAGTGCACTGGAATTTGCTAATAGTTGCAAATGCACAGTATACCTTTTGGGCTTGATTGTGATTGGTTTAGTCCTAGTGGTATGATCAAGTATGTGTGAGTCAAGTTATTTAACTCTCAGTGCCTCAATTTCTTCATCTATAAAATGGAGACGGTAGTTACTGCATGGATTATAGATGGGCACACAGTGTTTATTACAGTGGCTGACACATGGTAAGCTCTTAGTTATTAAGTTAGCTATTGCTAATATTAACAAGACTGATTATTCTCCTACTTCAAGCTTTGTCTTACCAGTCAATTCTTAGCTTCTACTTTTCATTATTGCGTATTCTTTCTTTTCTGTCTACTTCCCTAAACATTCTGTATGCATTTTTTTCCCATGCCTTTGCTTTAGCTGTTCCTTGTGTTTGAATTGCCGTCTTCTCTGCTCTTCAAATCTTACTACTTCCTTAATTATCCCACATTCTCTTAAATATTTTTCTAATTATTTGAGCCCGTGTTAACCTTTTCCTTTCTGAACTCTTGTAGAATTTATTTTCTGTTCTGTAATGTCCTTTAGTTATTTTTGAATCTTACCTTCTGTGTTTTTCAAATTTATTATGGTGATGAACATATAATATTTGCTTAATAAGGATTTATAATTGCTTGAATACTATTTATGTGGCATAATTACGGAAGATACCTTATGTGTTAGGCACTTTTCAATACTTGAGACATAAGGATGGATAAGACCTTATCCCTGTCCTCAAATAATTCATAATACAGTAGATAAATTACAGCTTATATTTGTATAGCACAGTGGTTCTCAGCCTCTCTTCTGCTTTCACATCATTTATGTGTGCAGCTCACTTTCATCATCAGTACCTCACACTACACATTCACTAGTGCAGCATTTCCCTCCAGTATTGAGACTCACTGATTTATATTTCTTTCTAATTTTGAAAAGCTCTTTCTCATGTTCTCTTCTATTTAAGCGGCATAACAAACAAATGAGATAGGAATTAAATACAGCCCTTAATGGAAAGGAAATTGAGATCCAGGGAGGTAGGTGTTATTATCCCACCTCATGGGTGAAGAAATTGCATCTCAAAGAGCTTTTTCAGAATAGAGTTGGAACTTAAATGCAGCTTTAGTATCTAGGTAATCTAACAGTTGAATAATAAGCTAACAACAGTATGCTAAACACTGACTTTATTTATTTAAACTTTTTATTTTAGAAAGCAAGTGACAAAAAAAATGAGAGTATAATGAATCTGTCACCCAACTTCAGCGGTTATCAACATTTTGCCAATGTTGTTTTATTTATCCACTCCCCCCACACTGTTTTATATATTTAGAATATTTTAAAGAAATTCCTAGATAGGATATCATTTTACCCATAAATACTTCGGGATACATTGACTTAAATTAGGCTGAATACAACCATGTAAAGTACATTAATATAAAATAACCTTAGTTCTGTTTATAGTGCATTATTCCTTTAGGTACATCATGACACCCAACAGACTTCCAAGCATATCTGCTTTTGTGGAAATGTAAACTTTTAAGGTACTATTTCTTATAGTACAGAAATATTTCAACTGTAGAATACTTTCTTGATATAAAATAATTAATATAACTTATAATGGGAAATGTAGCCAAAGGAAACAATTAGCTAATTATGTACTCCTAGTGAGGACTTTTCTTGGAATAGGTACTGTTATACACAGGAACAGACAACATTTCGTTCCATTATACGTAAGGTTACCATGAGTGGGAGCCTACTTGACGGCAATTAGCAACAAGTTTTAAACACGTTTAAGAAATATTTTATAAAGTATATTTGTCTGCAGGCAGTCCCCGGGTTATGAATGTCTAGCTTAACTTATAACCTGTAGTTATGAACCAACCCTGGTAAGACCTATTACATTAAACATTCAAGGTACATAAATGGTTCATAATAACAGACGTGCTACTTTGTGACATGTAGCAAAACATTATTACTGTATTATTATGTTAAAGATGTTTTAGTATATCTGAAAGTGTTCAATGTTTTTATGCATAGAAAAATACACTATATATTATAACAAACATTTAACTAGCGATTAGATACCAACCGTACCTAACTCTTCTGACTTAATGTACAAATTCAGCTTAAAAACAGATTTAGGAATGGAATTTATTGGTAATCTGGGGACTGCCTGTGAATTATTCTCTTTTGTTCTACCTTTCTTCTGTTTTAGAGATGTTCCTTATCTCCCTCAAAAGCTAACATTAACATATGCATACTGGAATTATTTACCTCCCCCATGGGATTTTGCTATTCATTTATCACCTCTTTTGTATCTATACTCACTTTTTCTCTCCTGTTCTGTCAGTCTACAGGCTTTCAAGTCTACCTTATTAAAAACAACAAAGCAAAACAAGCTTTCCTTGATTTTTTGTGGTAGCTGCCTAACTAAATACCTCTGCTGGTACTTTGTTAGCCTCACTTTAGCATGAGTAAAAGGTTCTTTACCCTCAGTCTCCAAAATATCTTTCCATCCTCACTTACCACTTGCTGTTGTTAATTATTAGCATTTTTAATAAGCTAAGCAGTCATAAAGTTCTCACAGTAGCATATAATTTATATACTAATATATACTACATCAGAGTTTAGGAAATACAATCTCTTATTTACTCTTGCTTAATTCAATTCAACAAAATTCATCAAACATTTAAATTCCTACTATGTGAAAGGCCATTTGCTAGTCTCTTGCATATTTAGAATTATGAAATCAGTTTGCAGTTTAATGTATTTTCAGAAGAAATTACGCTGTGACACTATGTACCTAAATATATATGAAATTTTTTGTTGTTGTTGTAGGTGCAATTGCTTGTATAGTATGACAGTGTTAAAAATAACTTATTTATAATTTTCTGTGCTAAACTATTATGGTTGAATTATGGTCAAATTATTATCTAATTATATTTTTAAATTTGTTTTTTAGGGACAGTATGGAAATTACCAGCAGTGAAAAAGTACTAACATTCCAATAGCCAGTACCTATTAGCAGCCATATTGTCACCTCATCACTGTGGACACCTCCCTGTGTAGAGATCTTTTCATTCCATCTAGTTTTTGGAAAAACTCTGTGGATAAGTGGCTGTTTCTTCAGTAAACAGCCTTTGTGGCTTAGTTGTAAAAGGCTTTAGTAGCTCAAAAATACTCTTGATTTCACATTTCTACTCTAGATGGCAACATTGGACAGAAAATACAATGACATAACCAATTTGCAATGATTTCGGAACTGTTTCAAATGGACTGTTACAGACTGAAAGGTGTGAACAGCTTTGTATGTTTATGAAGGTTAAGGGAATTTAATACTTTTCCACAGATTCTTTTGTAAGGGGAAGAGGGAAAGGTACACTTTTTACAGCAGCAATATTTTGTATATTATGTTTATTTCATGTGAATATGCAAGGCAGTACACGCACTGGGCAGAATCAGAAATCCTGTTAATGTGGATTGGAGCATGGTAGATGCTTGATTGTGTTGGTCTCAAAATGGTGTACTATAAAGATAAAGGTGAGGGAGAACACAAAGCACACCATATGTCCACTATTATGTTGTTACAGAGGAAATTCAAATCCCTTTTATCTATTAGATAATCAAGGGCACTGTGATACAGGTTTGACTAAAAAGACATTTTTTAAAAGCCTTCCAGTTTTGTGGATTAAAACATTTTTATAAAAATCATTTATAATATAGTTTTAAAATGTGAGGCAATAATTACTTCATGTTGGATCTGAAGAATCTTTGCTAACAGTTTCATGGAGATGAAATGGTAATCCTCCCCTAAAATAGCAATAACTGAAAATGGAAGTATTAATTTACTGTGAGTAATCAGGGAATTTAGTAAGTAATATCAAAGAATTTTATAAATGATATCAAAGAAGAGTCAACATTGATCCAGTAATTTTATTTTTTAACATTACAAGGATAATTGGTTTATATAGTAAAATAGTTCAGACTTTACAAACCTTTATTTCAACTTTCTTAACTGGAACTAATGCCATTTATAAAGGGACACTTTTATGCTTTTCCCTTTTTTATGTTGGTTCATATAAGACAGAGATGTTGTTGAGGTTTTATTCTGATCTGTTATTAAAAGCATAGAGGTTGCATGCTAGATTACCTTGTTTGTTAGTATGGCATATTTAATCATTATTTGAGACTGCCCTATGCCTGATTATTTTAACTAAATTCAGGGATATTGTATTGGGCAGGAAAGCATGCATAGAGAAGTTTTTAACCACAATTATTTAGGCATAATCTGAAAACATCTAGCCCAAAGGTGAGTTGCTATTTTCATCACAGTTGCCTATGCCCGGGGAATAAGATGTATTCCTTATAAATGAATTGTTTTTTTTTCTCACTTCTAACTGGAAACAAAACAGAAGGGATACCATAAATTTGAGTAAGCGAAACATACTGTTCTCAACATACTGTAATCAAAAGAAGACATTTCTGTGTGTGTGTGAGAGAGAGAGAGAGTGTGTGTGTGTGTGTATGTGTATGTGTTTTAATATGAGAATAGGTTTGCTTTTTTGTTTTCAAGTTGGTCAGTAGAAAATGACATCAAGGTTTGAACAGATAAAGCATGGACAGCCTTATTGTGATTAACATACTTGTAGGTTCTGTGCCTGTTTTCCACCACTGTGTACTTTGTTGCTATTTAAAACTGTATCAACTCTAACAGAAGAATAAATTATTTGTGATTTTAATTTTCTCATCTGTTTCTTTAAATTAGATCTCTTTGACTCTCTTGGTTCGTCTGGAGATTATACTGTGGGTTTTTTATATAAGTTAGACCAATATAAGCAGACTATATTTGTATTCTAGGACTTTATTAAAATTCTGTTGTCATGCCCAAGTTAATTAGAATTAACTGTTCAGTAATCAGCATGTTGTGTAGGCTGTTTGTTACAGAATTCTTTCTCTGAAAATGAAGTCCATGAGGCAATAATCAAGATGACTGAATTAGATAAATGAGTTGAGGAGACAAAATTGTACTGAACCCAACCTGGTGTAGATATGTTATCTCATTTGAAATAAGCTCAGCTGACATTAAGAGGTAATTTGTCTCGCCAACCCATCTTCTGTTGTCTTGTTCTCCTTTTAATGGAAACTAAAATTGCAATTTTAATAAGCAGAATTTCCTCCAGGACTTTCTTCCTGGAGACTAGTGCGTTTGCAAGGTTTAATTGTTTTATAACAGTCCTATTTTGTATAAGTTTTTAATTGGTGGTGACAAAAATTACCTTACTCCTTTGATACCTAGTAAGAAAATAACTGTACCAGTAGCTTTCTACCGAATTTGGTATTTCCATATAGATTATATATTCTAAAACGGAAATTTTTAGTTGATCAAAGTGTGTTATAATGAATAAATATCATACTGTCCCATAAAATTCTGGAAGCAAAATAGTAAATTACTAAGAAAAGAACAGGGTGATTATTGATGAACATTTAAAAATACTTGAGTGTGCTAGGTTAGTGGTTTAATAATTAAATTGTTAGTAGTATTCTTTAGCGTTATGGTGCACGTTATTTTTGGTTTTGTTTTAACTTTTTAAATGGATTTTTCAAACATACACCAATGTGGAGATCCCCCATGTAGCAGTTTCCTAACTTAGCGACTTAGTAACCCATGGCCAATCTCGTGTCATCTAAACAAACAAACAAAAAAAAACCAAACCCACCGTGGTTGAGTTGATTCCGACTCATAGTGACCCCATATGATAGAGTAGAACTGCCCTATAGGGTTTCCAGGGAGCGGCTGGTGGATTCAAACTGCTGACCCTTTGGTTAGCAGCTGAGCTCTTTACCACTGCGCCACCAGGGCTCCAATACAATACCCTGTAAAAACAGCAATTTGTAGTACATGCCCATTTTTTTTAGTTTCTAACTATTATATAGGGCCTTGCCTGCTGGCAGCACATACTGTCAGTGGTGCAGCGTCTCCCTAATAAACCCTAGAGGCAGAAAAAGTAAGTGGTAGCTCTGTGGACCACAGGTCACAAAAAGGTTAAGTTCCTGTTTTGGAGGACTCTTTGTTATACTAGCAAAGCCTGTACACTAATGTAGGGTCGTGTGGTGAACCAGCTCATACTACCCTATGGTAAATTATGTATGGCATCATATTTTTTAGGAATGACAGGTTTGTGTATTGTGTGTGTAGTATACATCATAATCATTCAGTTCATATTCTAATGAAATACAACAAAATTCTTTAGTATTTTTTTAAAGATCATCTTCTGCTTTCCATTACTTGGATAAACTAGAATGCCATATTTAAGAACCTATTAATCGATTTAGTTGATTTCAAAGTATTGGTAAAATATATTTAATATGTATAATCTCTTTGGCATCTGTATACTTATAAATTTTATAAATGGTATGTTTTTTGAGTACTTGTTTTGACAATTGGTAAGTAGGACCTCATTAAATCTCTTATTTGGCCTCATTTTCATTTGTTTTTGGGTTTTTTGCTCAAATGCTTCCTTGCTGTTTTCTGGCTTTCACTATGTGATGCATATACTTTCATTTTAGTTTCACTGTCAACTTTTCTTTGGGGGAAAATAATTGATGTACTAAAACCATTTTGATTTTACACCGATAGTGGCTCTTATTATTCACCTTGCATCAATATAAAGTTTTTTTTTTTTTTTTTTGGTTTACAGAAGGTGTAACACTATGGAGGATATTTTGGAATAGTGTTTTTTTTATATACTATTGTATACATGTGGGCGTGCTTGTGACGCAGTGGTTAAGCACTTGGCTGCTAACCAAAAGGTCTGTGGTTCAAACCCACTAGCTGCACCGTGGGAGAAAAATATGGCAGTCTGCTTCCGTAAAGATTGCAGTCTTGGAAACCCTATGGGACAGTTCTAGTCTGTACTGTAGGGTCACTGTGAGTCAGAATCGACTCGATGGCAATGGGTATTTTTTTTTTTTTTTGTATTGTATGTATGTGATCAAATTTTGTAACTTGAGAACTGAGATCAGTGGATCAAAATACTGTTTATAGCTATGAAGGATTTCATCTCCTCTTCTGTGCATATAGCTGTATTAGGAATTATTTCTGTTAATGCTTAATAAAGTAAGAGCGAGGAAGTAATGGTTGCAGCTTTCTTTTCAGTACTAATGTCATTCTGTCCATAGAAATCCTATTTCCTTTTCATTAATTTCAGTATTCCATTCTTTTCCAAGATCTTGCTTCACAGCAAGCTTTCATACTTCAAGCTCTACACGTTAGTGCTCAGTCCTCATTCCCACATAAACACAACCATTTTGAAAACATGAACTGATATTAATTACCCCCTTGGCACCAAAAAGTCAGGATTTCCTGATGCGGCACGCTAATGTAAAATGCATTAGTGCAAATGCTGGCTCCAAGGGGTAGTATTCTCTAAATAAACACAGCAATGTTTTTCTTTATTCACAGCTCTCGGGCTGTTCTGAAAGTCATTCATCCTCCACACCCCTAAAAAAGAATTTTGAGTTTTAATATAACTGGATTTTTCAGAAGAAGGAGTTGAATTTCAAGCTGCAAATCAGTGGCACTTAAGTCTTTTTGGTTCTTTGAAATAAAATCTACCTAAATGTTCTGGTGATTAAATGACGAACTGTAATTTGCAATAGTTCAATGGAGGAGAATAATGTTTAATGTTTAATCATTAGTATCACTAAAAATGTGTATTACACATTTTGAGTTACTTGAAAATTGAAAAGTAAGTTTTGTTCAATTTGTTGTTCAGTCACTTAAGACCAGAAAGTTTGTGTATGGGTTTTTATTGTGTTTGTCTTGATATGTGTGTTTATATGAATATTCCATATAGACTTCTGGTCAAGAAGGCTTTATTATTTCATGTTTTGATGTACCCTCTTCAAACAGATAGTAATAACAAGATAAAACTAAGAGAGACCAAACTAGAGGTAGTTAGGCTCAAAACAAGCTAAACATCTCTATGGACCAGAAATAGAATAAAAACATAAATTGGTAGTGAGGGTTCTGAGTCTAGAAGCTGGTAGTGATACTTGAGAAATTGGTTCCTATGGAGTAATACAGAAACTAAAAATATTACACAAAATCAGGTTTATAGCTTGAAGCCAGAGGCTGGAATGGAGCTTTCCCTCCACTGTTCCATTAATAAAAAAGAATCTTAAAAAAAGTTTGCTGCTGCTAACCACTACTTGAAACCTTGTTTTGAGAAATCTGAGCCTAATTATGCTTCTTAGCTGTTATTGAGTTGGCCCCTGACTTATGGTGACCCCCAGTGTACAGTGGAATGAAGTGCTTCCTAGTCCTGCACCATCCTCATGATCAGTTGCAGATTGGACCATTGTGATCCATAGATTGTTCATTGGCTGATTTTTGGAAGTAGATCACCAGACCTTTCTTCCTAATCTGTCTTGGTCTAGAAGATCTGTTGAAACCTGTTCAACTTTATGGCAATATGCAGTCCACCACTGACAGAGGGGTGGTTGTCATGCATGGGGTTCATTGTGCAGGAATCAAACGCAGGTCTCCTGCATGGGAGGTGAGAATTCTACCACTGAACCACCAATGCCTCCTAATGGTGCTAGAAGATACATATTTACCCTCTTGATCAGCAGCTCAACTAAGCTATTTTACGAGGCTTGGTAATTAGGTCTAAAATATTCTTAAAGTTACTATAGTGCTGAAACATTTGGTTCTGGACTTGGTGGGGACCTTGCCGGGCAGGCAGGTGGAAGCACAGAAGGAAGAGTGAGAAAGAGAAAAAGACAATCTCCCACTTTAAATAGGCTTATGAGCCAAATTTTCAAAATATGTTACCAAAATCACTTAGCAGAAAGTGCATTCATGCTGGATAAATGTAATTTTATAGAACAGAATGACAAGTTTTAAAGTATGTATGTTTAGGATGCTTAGAGATTTTATCTATCAACAGCAATCCTCAGATACGAAATTACAAAGCAAAAACATGGAGAAAGTCAACTACTGGTGCATATGAAGACCGTTTAGAAATGTTTAAAGAATGTAGTGATTGAAACAAGCTCAATTGGTGGCATAAACTGTAGGCTGTACACAGTTGTAGAGGGAATTTGTGAATTAGATGATAGTATGAGAAATTGTCCCAGAGCACAAAGAACAAAAAGATAAATTTATGAAGGAACAATGAAGAGATGGAAGTGAATGCAGTGTTTTAATATGGGACTTAAGAAGAAGGAAGAGAAGGGATTGGTGGAAAAGCAATATATATGTTAAAGCTGAGAGTTTCTGCAGTTTAGTCGGTAAGTGAATCCACCCTAAGTCGAAGCAGGACAAATAAAAATAAATCCATATCTAGACACATTATAATTGGTTGTTCAGAAAATAGTTTTGAAAACTGAGAGAAAAGGCACAGTACCTATTAAAAAATAAAATTTAGACAAGAGAATTCTCTGCAACAATCAAAAGACATGCGAGTTGTCTTCAGAGTACTGAGAAAAAATGTTATACCCAGCTAAACTATAATTCTAAGGTGAGGGCAAAATACAAACATTTTTCAGGCTTACAAAGACCAAGAGAGTTTATCATCCATAGACGATGTGGTTCAACAAAAAGAAGAGAATCTGAAAGGAAGGGGTAGGATGCAAAATTCGTCCAACATAGTTATCGATAGAAAACATTTTCTTTTGGGTGAGAACAAAAGATAGGTAAATGTGACAGGTTAGTTGCATTAGTGACCTCAATTTTTTAGTCTTCCATAAGTCCATGCCTCTTTGCCATGTGATTTCCCACCTCCTCTCACTGAAGAGGCAGAGTTGATTTCCCTGCCCCTTGATTCTGAGTTTGGCCATGTGACTTGCTTTGGACGGTAATGGGGAATTGGTACATGTGACTCAAACGGGCTTGTAAAAGCACTTGTACCATTGCCTTTGCTATGGAAGCTTGCCCTCGGCTAGCCTGCTGGAGGAATGTGGGAGTTATGTGAGACAAAGGCAAGTCACCAGAGCTAACGCCAGGCAACTCCAATCAAGATCAGCAGAACCAATCAGCAGTTGACTGCAGGTGCATAAGCAGGCCTAGTTCAGATCAGCTGGACTCTGCAAGCTCTTAAGCTAAGTATATGTTTCTTCTTGTCTGGGGAGTCCCTGGGTGGCACAAACGGCTAAACACTGGACTACTAACTGAAAAGTTTGGCAATTCGGACCCACCCAGAAAAGCCTCAGAAGAAAGGCCTGCTTCTGAAAGGTCACAGCCTTGAACACCCTGTGCAGCGCAGTTCTGCTCTGAAACACATGAGGTTGCCATGAGGCAGAATTGATTCAATGGCAACAGGTATGGGTTTTTTGTTTTGACCCAGAACAGTACCTGGCACATACAAGTACTCAAAAAGTATTTACTGAAAGCATGAGTGAATAAACATGAATGAATATCCAGCAGGACCCCATTGCTCTTATTTTTACTATTTTTACTTCATGTGTTTGTTTCTTGCTGGCCATATAATTCAGCCTGTAAACTTTTGGTTTTTCAAGACCTTGAGAAAACTTTGCTACTTAACACAAAAGCATTCCTTTCTACTACATCTTTTCTTGCAGTAGTGGGAACAGTCCCTATACTCATTTACATTTTTCATTTGGATTTCTCTCACATATTTTATTTTTAAAGGAGTATCCAGCTAAATTTTTTAAAAATTTGACTCACTTTTTCAATTGATGCTATTACTCCTCTTTTGTTAGGTGACATCAAGTTGGTTCTGACTCATAGTGACCTTATGTACAATAGAACGAAACAT